CCCGATCTACTGAGCCGACCTGTGACAGTCTCATTGTTACAGGTCGGCTAGAACTATGAGGTGAGTGAAAAGCCCTTCCCCCCTCATTGTTCTCCTTTAAGTAGGGATCCACCAATACCGCTCCCAATGCCTATCACGATACCTGAACTTCCGCTATCAGGAAGACAGGCAGCGAGTCATTACACACCACCCAGCTTCCTGATTGGCCGGGAAGCCGACTCCATGCTCCTTCATGACCAGTTAGCTGGCTTCTCGGCCAATCAGAAAGCCGGGGGGTGGGAAATGATTAGCCCCACCAGCTCCCTGATTGGCTGGGAAGCCGGCACCATGCTTCTTCGTCGGGTGAGCCAGGCAATCAGGAAGCCGGGCGCGGTGTAATGACTGGCTGCCCGGCTTCCTGATTGCGGAAGCTCGGGTATCGGGCTAGGCAACAGAGCATTTGGCCGAGTACGAGTACTCGCCCAAATACTCGGTATCTGCACCGATACTAGTATCGGTATTGGTGCATCCCGAATATATATATATTATATTACTCCTTATAAAATACAACACCTCCTACATGACCCGACCATTGGACATCACCACAATGCAATTCTTTAATAGGATGATGGGACAGAACATTTCACCTCCAACAAGGCCTGACCATAATCATCTGATAGGACGGTACAGACATGAGCAGGACGGTACAGACATGAGCAGGCCACCATTTTGTTGTGCTGAATAACATGCCATTGAAAGAAGACTCTGACCATTGGACAAGACCACTTCAATTCTATTCCGGTATGACTAGACGAGGCACAAGTACCCGACAAGATCCACCGGATACAATCCACCGGATACAATCCACCGGATACAATCCTATCACTTCATATAGCCGCAGAAATTAATATCAAAGGGGTATGAAAACTGCTCCTTCCAGGACCTCATAACGGCATCAGAGGCGTCCAGAGATAAGTGCTGCGGACACAGCCATCGTAACGTGGAACATTCCTTTAAGTCCCATCAGCAACACCACGTACCGCCAAAGCTTTTATTACTGACCTTCATGGGGGTGTGAGAACCAGATCTGGGAGGCGCTGGCCCCGTGAGGTCCCCTGTAGGTGGTGTCCGATGGGGAGGAGGAGGCTGCCGCAGGGTGCGCTGACGCTGCCGGTGAACCCAGGCTGCTGCTCAGGAAACTGCCCATAAAGGAGGGGGAGGAGTTCGCCATCAAACCGGTGCTGGCTGCAACAAAAAAGAAGAAGAGAAAGAACACTCAGTGAACTTATGCATCCATTGTCAGATTTCATGTGTTCTGTACACCAAAGCAGCAGGATGACCACGACTGTTTTACTGCAACACAGAGACGGGACTGTTCAAGGAAGAGCCAATGACATCAGAAGGAAACATTCAGCCGTCACAATGTGGAATGGGGGTGGAATGCAGTCACGGCAGTCTCTCCTCCCAGCCGGTGCCGGCTGCAGTGGTCTGTGTCCCCGCTGCCTCTGCCGACGCAGGCGGGGATTGAAAAGGGACACAGACCGCTGCAGCCAGCACCAGCGGGGAGCAGAGCGGCTGCAGCAACTAATAGATTCCCATTATCGATTATAATCGATTAGTTGTTGCAGCCGTACCATAGATACACCAGTGTTAAAAAAATCCGCCTGCCACTGGATCGGATACAAAAGAGTTCTTTATATTAACATCAATGGGCATTAAAGCCGAACGCCAACAGCTACATCCACATATAAAATACATATAAATGGAGCCGCTTTATATGCCAAAAGGAATGTGTACTTCCCTCAATCCATCCCCGAGATTTATACAGCTCTGCCACATAGCCCATCCATGCAAACGGCAGCAGTTAAAGATAGCAGCGGTGTCCTCTCTCCACCTTGCTGCATGGACACTGAATGAGCAGCGGAGGACTGACCAGGTCCGTCCTTCTGCGCTGTCCTCCCGTCATCTTGTCTGACACATTAGCATGCAGCACACGTGATTGACACCTAGTCCTCCCCTCCCCCAGTCTGAATTCTGCTATACAGGGACTGCAGGAGGCATATTTAGGTTTGACAAAATACATTTAAAATGATTATTATTAATTCAGGGCTGAAAATTGATTTTATTTCTTCTAGATCCGCCTGGAGTTCGGCTTTAAAGAAAACGGTTGAAGCGAGCGTAACGCGGAAGGCGAGGGGGGGTGGTGGGGAATGGAACGCATAGCGCTGAGCCTCGCTCAGGGTGTGGACGGGATTGGCTGGCTGATCAGTGCGCTCCCCTCCCAGCCTTCAGGGTGCTATGACAACCTCACATGGACTAGGAAGCCTGCCCATTCCCCTGCAGCTGCTGCTGCTGTCATTGTGATGGGAAGGGATGGAGCATTCCAGATGTGCAGCCGCCCAGCCAGGTGTCAGACCCCCCCCCACGGAAGACTCAGCCAACAGCGCCACTTAGGTCAGGAGCCGCTTAAAGGGAATCTGCAGCCTTGTGCGTTCTCATACAGACGTGTGAATGTGACAAGCAGGGTGAAACCTTCCTGGAGAAAATGCTGCTGGGCGTTCCCCCTCCAGTGAGCCTGGACACCTGTTCATGTGACCTCTGCTGAAAAGGGAAGAGAAGCCTGAAAATCAGTGTTCTGGATGGCATGGCATCCTTGACTTTAGAGATCACATGACCCTACTCCTAGGCTTTTGGCTTAGGACAGCAGCACCAGAGGGAGCCGGGGAGCAGCGCACTACCGGGAACTTGTTGCCACCATTTGTCATCCTGCAGCTGTGCAAAGACAAACCCACTCAAGGGGCCTTTTATCCCAGTTTTATAAAAAGCGATTGCAACCGGAGTAGAGGGCTTCTCACAGACTGTCTGGCAGGCCTGCAAGCTCTGGTCACAGGGCTCTCTGAGAACTAAGGTGGGCGGGGCCCAGAACCAGGGAACCCCACGGCCTGCCTTTCTTTTGACTCAGAAGGGCCACATAGAAAGCAACCCCCGCACCATATGAATAACAGAATTCAAGCAGCAGAGAAAAAGATTTACTCAGCACATTAGTATGGAGCTTAATTGTAACAGCATTTTTGGAGTAGAGCTGCCCTTTCAATTGGACCTTCAGGGTGACAACACTGCTCTTTATAGGTACAGTAAGATGAATGAGCGTTGTCATCCTAGAACAGAAAGTGCGTTACTGGCAGGATCACCAGAGTGACAACGCTGCTCTTTATAGATGCAATTGGATGAATGAGCGTGGTCACCCTAGAACAGGAAGTGTGTTACTGTCAGGATTACCAGGGTGACAACGCTGCTGTTTATAGATGAAAAAGGATGAATGAGCGTGGTCACCCTAAAATAGAAGTGTGTTACGGGCAGGATCACCAGGTGCAAACAAGAGGGGGCGGGAAGAACTAATACACTCTACATAAGGGGTGAGTAAACTCCGGTCCTCCAGCTGTGGTGAAACCACAAATCCCATCATGCATCTGTCTCTGGAAGTCATGCCTGCGGCTGCGAGAATCTTGCATTGCCTCATGGGATTTGTAGTTCCACAACCCACCCCCGCTCTACATCTTAGGGCTGGGTAGGCGGCAACATATGACATTTCTGTTCTCGTTTTTAAATATGGAGATGCGCAGAGTGCCCACCAGATGGCGCCATAGCCGACCTCCATACTTAAATGCCATCTACCTGGCCGCCATGGGGGTAGATAAAGGGAGCCCGCCTTCACTTTGACTTGACGGAGCTCTGCCCCAGAAATCATTTCCTTACACTAGAGTAATGAAGCCACAGACGGCCGGGCGACGGAGCATTTTCAGGAGACGTCAGCTCTGGTCGTTGATAAGCGCAAGCCCGGGGGGCCCCCGGGGCCCTAAACGGTGCGGTATACAGGAGGAGCGTATTCCGCTGTGAAGTTTACGGTCACGCCATGTACATAGGTGATCCAATGGCGGCTGGGCCGGATTAAAACACAGATGCTTATAATAATCTTCACATGTAATTGTTCTCAGATCGAGCGGAGTGTTAACAAGTACATTCAGCTACTGCCAATTCCGGGGGCCAGACTGTACGAGCGCACGTCGGGGGAGGGGGGGGGGGGTAATTACAAAATTTTTGCCTTTATTAAAAAAACCATCTGGTTGCCATTCACAATTGATGGTGACGGGGGGTTGGCGGCGCGCACGGGGGGGGGGGGGGGGGGGGGGGTAATTACAAAAATGTTGCCTTTATTTTATTCATTAAAAGGGGTCTCGTCCTCAATATACAGGCTGCCATACCCCATCCTCGGCTTCTAAAAACGCTTGTTCCCTGGCCGCGTTTAACACTTTCTGAATCACGGACTCGGAATTGTGACTTTTCAGATGCTGCCACTTCCTGTCTACACGCTTTCCAGCGATGTCTGTCTGGCACTTCTCAGGTCAGATGCTCTGAGGGTGACAACATTGGACCATGTCTGTGTAATGTGTGCTGAAAATGGGCACTTGTAGTCTCCATTGGAAGCCCATGTGACAGAATGACAACACAGGAGCACAAATGGGGAGACAAGGACAGAGCGTTGCCACCCTATACCAGGAAGTGCCTGAACAAGGACAGAGCATTGCCACCCTATAACAGGAAGTGCCCGAACAAGGACAGAGCATTGCCACCCTTTAACAGGAAGTGCCCAAACAAGGACAGAGCGTTGCCACCCTATAACAGGAAGTGCCTGAGCAAGAACAGAGCGTTGCCACCCTATAACCAGAAGTGCCTGAGCAAGGACAGACCCTCCTCTTAGACAGTGCCCCCATTGGAAAATGTCCCCTTCTTCCTGTTCTGGTGGCAACACAAATTTTCGGATTTCCCCTGATGACATTGGTGGCCAGGACGATTAGAGATAGTGAGATATCAGACGCCGACAAGTAGGGATGCACCGATACCGATACTAGTATCGGTATCGGTGCCGATACCGAGTATTTGGGTGAGTACTCGTACTCGCCCAAATGCTCCGATACCTAGCACGAGTACTTCCTCTATCAGGAAGCCGGGCAGCGCATCATTACACGCTGCCCGGTTTCCTGATTGGCCAGGAAATGGCTCCATGCTCTCTCGTCAGGAAGTCGGGTAGCATGCAATGACGCACTGCCCGGCTTCCCGATTGGTCAGGAAGCTAGCAAATCGTGAAGCCGGGCGCCGTGTAATGACGCAGCGCCCGGCATTCTGATTGGCCGGGAAGCCGGTGTCATGCTCCCTCGTCATCTCATGAATCATAATATTAAGAAAGTGACCTTAAAGCATTAGTTTGTATTGCTTTAGAAAAAATGTGACCTGTCCCTTTAAGAAAAAGTATCGGTAATTGGAATCTGTGAGTACTTGATCAAAAGTATCGGTACTCATACTCGGTCTTAAAAAAGTGGTATCGGTGCATCCCTACCGACAAGGGTCTATTCACTCACGAATATCAAAACCGAAAATAAAAGTTTTGCCTGTAGTGTCACTTCAATCACTTTCAAGTCAAACGTTACAATAACACACTTCGGGGGGGGGCGGGAAATGCACGATGTATAAATATTATGTAGTTTCCCCTTTAAGAGAGGGGGGGGGGAACGCAGCTGTTTCCTCGGTGAAACATGTCATCCACGTTTCCTCCCTGCTGGACGGAGAAGAAGAGGCAGCTGAGAACCCACGTCCCGGGCCACACCCTGACCACGCCCACGGCGCTGCACCGGGGACACGCCATACCGGTCATCTGTAAACCACTATTTAAAGGGGACAGTCATCAAAAATAATTCCATTATTAAATGTTCAGATCATCGTCTTATTAACCCCTTCATTCCGAAATGTCTGCGAATTATACTTTGTAACCAGGATAAAAGAATCGCAGCACCTCGAAGACAATGTTATCGCTCAGGAGAGGAGGAGACAGTGCAACTGTGCAAGGCCGGAGGTCAGATAGAAGACCGAAGGGGAGGCCGGAGGTCAGATAGAAGGCCGAAGGGAAGGCCGGAGGTCAGATAGAAGACTGAAGGGAAGGACGGAGGTCAGATAGAAGACTGAAGGGAAGGCCGGAGGTCAGATAGAAGGCCGAAGGGAAGGACGGAGGTCAGATAGAAGACTGAAGGGAAGGACGAGAACACGGCAAAAAGAACACTGCTCCGAAAAACCACCAAAGACGTATTTGCCATCAAAATGTTACATTGTTACAAAACGCAACCGAAGTCCATAAGATTCGACCTCCCCACTCCGGACACACAAATCCTGTCTGGCTACTAGGTCGGTTCCCA